CCCAGCAGGTAGCCTTCCCGCAGCCACCATGACCAGCCTTGCTCCAGCTGTCTGGATCCCAGAGTGAAACTGTCATGGGGCGGAGAGACAGGTGACCCACAGGGAGCGTGTAGCCTGGTTGAGAGATGAGTCTCTGTTATTAGGAGCCAGGGACACCAGGGGGCCACTTGTTACAGCAGCAGTACTTGGTATCCTGACATCAGCCGCAGCATGGACTGGGGTTGGGGAGTTAGTGACATGGAACAGTAGGCTTCCCTGACAGCTCAGACAATAAAGAATCTGCCTGCAATGCAGGAGACCCAGGTTCCATCCCTGGGTCAAAGGGCCCCTGCAGAAGGGAATGGCTACCCACTCCAGTATTCTTGCCTGGAGAATTCCATGGACAGAGGAGCCTGGCAGGGTGCAGTGCATGGGGTCCCGAAGAGTCGGACATGACTGAGAGATTTTCACTTTTTTACTTTCATGTAGAACTCTAGCACAGAATAGATTTCCATAGATGATAATTGCCCCCTGTAAGTCAATGGCCTGAGTGTTTCTGTTATCATGTTAAAAAAAATTTATATGTATATTGTCTTAGTCCATTTGGGGTTCTATAAAAGAATGTAGTAGACAGGATAGCTTATAAACGATGGAAGTTTATTTCTCACATTTCTGGAGGCTGGAAAGTCCAAGATAAGACACCAGCAGATTTAGTGTCTAGTGAGAACTCACTTCCTGGTTCATAGGGAGCTGTCTCCTCTTCCTGTGTCCACACATGGTGGAAAGCATGAGAAACTCTCTTTTATACCCTCACTAATCTCATTCTAGAGGGCTCCACCCTCACGATCTGGTTGCTAGGTTGGCCAAAAAGTTTATTTCGCTACTATAACACCTGAACCAACTTCGTGGCCAAGCCAATACATCCCAAAGGCTCCATCTCCAATGTCCATAATGTTGGAGATTACGTTTCAACATATAAATTTCGAGGAGACATAAACATTCAATCTATAGTGCAAACACAGACACGCACACACATGCACAGACACACACATGCACGCACTTATATCTTAGCATGTTCTCTGACACATAGTAGGTGCTCATCACACATCAGGTGCATTTTCCCTGCATTCTCCTGCCTCCCTAAGCTCCTGTCTTATAAAGCATGCCTTCCAAGCAAGCTTATTCATTTCTTTATTCATACGGTTTCCCAGTTACTTATTCCTCTTTTCAGCGGTGAATCATAGCATGTTTCTAGGCATGCTTTATCTCCTATTTCCTGCATAAATAATCATCCCGGATCCAAAGGGTAATGTGTATGCAGTGGTCCCGGGGCTGGCATACCACTTAGCTCAGCTCTTAATATGCAGTGTGGCAAAAAGGGGTGTCGGGTTGAGAGAGAAACCTCATCTAACATAGTTGGGGCCACTTACATTCATCTTAGCGGAGAGAAGGGAAGCATTTGGACTGCAATTCTGCACCTTATAAATAGACATATATAGCTCTGCATACATTATTAATATGGGTTTTATTGCTAGCTTTATTGAATCCACGATGGTGCTTCTCTGGGGAAGCCATAGAACACAGGAAGATTGCATAGACGCCTGCATTAACCAGGACCACAGTATACCAGGCAAATAAGGCTGTGCAAACAGCAGTATTCATGCTCTCTGCATCCTACAATTCAAATAACATAATAACAAATAATGTGCTCAAGCAAGCCCCACAGCTGCTATTTGAAGGATTTTATGTATTTCTTATCTATGTTGCTCATGCAAACATGAGACCAGGCAGGGAAAATGTATTTTTAAAAAGTTCCTTAGCATGACCTCCAAAGGCCCTGACTTCCTCCAGAACGTCGCCTTCTCCCTCGACTGTCTCCCAGACTCATCCCCACAATTCCCCCTGGACATACCTTGAAGAGACAAAATTATTCCCTCCCTCTTGTTCTTAACGTCTGCTCTGAGTGCACGCACACACACCTCCCTATAACTGGATCTTCTTCCATTCATTTTCCATCCCGTGCCCTGTTTATTAGCAGCAATTATTTCTAGATGTCTTTTTTCTTCTTCATACATGTCCATCTTTATCATCTGTCTCCCCAAGGAGAACGTACACATCAAGGAGGGGGCTTTTTTTCTGTCTTGTTCTGTTTGCTGGATCTCCAGCCAACATGCGTAATAGTGGTTGGCACATAGTAGATGGGCAATAAATATTTGATGACTGAATGGATGAGTCACAGAATGCAAACCATGATGCTTGGTAAGTTCCTTCATCTTCTTGGTCCACTGCGGACCTCCCCTTAAGATAAGCTTCAGGAAGGGCAGCCCTCTGTCCTCTGGGCAGCTCTGATCACCCATGTCTGAAGCTGGGAATAATGCTTAGCGTTGGTGTTCTTGAGTCGCTAAGTTGTATCCAACCCTTTGCGACCCCATGGACTGCAACACTCCAGACTCCTCTGTCCATGGGGTTCTCCAGGCAAGAATACTGAAGTGGGTTGCCATCTCCTTCTCCAGGGGATCTTCCCCACCCAGGGACTGAACCCACATCTCCTGCACTGGCAGTTGGGTTCCTTACTACTGAGCCACAAGAGAAGCCCATAGCACTTAGCGTGGTTCTCAATAATTGGTCATGGAGCATGAGAGAACTAAAATCTGTTCTTGAAGCATCAGGCTGTCCATGTGGTCAGTGGTGGCTGAAGCAGTGTGTGTGGTTCCAGTATGTTCTGTTATACTCTCTCCATGAGGTGGGTGAAGGTGGAGTATTGAGTAATATAGCTTTCCCCCCTTCCTTTGACTAGGAAATTAACCCCTTGTGAAAGTGCATCAGGGAAGCCCACATCTTTCATTAATGACAATGATTCTTTGAATATAAATTGCCCCCTGTGTACAGAATTTGTGCAGCAAATACCTATTTGCGATCTATCATCACTAAGTTAGTATTCTTATAAGCCAATCACCATCAAAAGATTCCCCTTTCCTGAAAGTCACTCAGTCATGTCTGACTCTTTGCAACCCCATGGACTATACAGTCCATGGAATTCTCCAGGCCAGAATACTGGAGTGGGTAGCCTTTCCCTTCTCCAGGGGATCTTCCCAACCCAGGGATTGAACCCACGTCTCCCTGATTGCAAGCAGATTCTTTACCAGCTGAACTACCAGGGAAGCCCTCGCCTTTTCTAGAGATTGATTTAGCAGAGGGCATGTTACTTTGGTGGCTTCTAGAAACTTAAAAAAAATGGATACAGATGAAATTATTTACAAAACAGAAATAGGCTCACAGACATAGAAAGCAAACTTACTGCTACCAAAAGGGAAAGGTTGGGGGAAGGATAAATTGGGAGTCTGGGATTCACAGATATACACTACCATAGTACATATAAAATAAGTCCATGGGAACTTGAATAGAATAGAATTTGTATCCTAATGTTGTGAGAAAATTGTATAAATCTTAATTATGTTGAATTGGTTCATGGTGACTTTCAGGTCTACTATATCCTTCTCTTAATACTTTTCTATATTTTCACTCTATTAATTTTTGAGTTTAGCATTGAAACTCCAACTAAAAATCTTAATGTATATACTTAGAAAAATAATTGTAATATATAGTAGAACTATATGTAACTTTGTCCTGTATTTTCCAAGTCTCCTATAAATGCATTATCATATTTTCATAATTTGAAAATTTTAAAAATAAAATAGATAAACAAGGACCTACTGTACAGCACGGGAACTGTACTCTATTTTTTATAAAAATCTTTAAGAGAAAAGAACCTGGGAAAGAATATATGAGTGTGTGTATATATATTGATAACTGAATCACTCTGCTGTACACCTGAAACTAACACTGTAAATCAACCATGTTTCAATTTTTAAAAACTCAGGATGATGATGAATAGTGAGTGTTCTGGATGGGGGTCTGCCAGCTTTTCCTGCAAGGGATCAGATAATAAATATTTTATGCTTGGTGCACTATATAATCTCTATCACAACAAATCAATATGGCTGTGATGGCCTGAAAGTTGCCACGGGCAATAGGTAAGTGAATGGGCATGGCTGTGTTCCAATAAAACTTTATTTACAAAACCAGACAACGGGCCAGATTTGGCCCACAGGGTGTAGTCTTCAGTTTGCAGATCTCCGCTTTAGACCTGCCTGGCTCTCAGCTCCACTTCACTATGCGCCCCAGAAGAACAACTAACCTCCCGTCTGCTAACGGCATCTGATACCTACCATGGAACTTTTGGCAAGAAGAATGAAGTCAGGCTTGAAAAACGCTGAGCTCCCCATTAGTGATAAGTGTAGCTGGGCTGGTGGTTGTTGGACTCCGGCTACTGTCCTGTGTGTGTTTCATTTCTGTCACCATCCCCATCAGGTGCGCTGGAAAATGAACCCAAATCCGAAAGCCAGTAGCACTGGAGAAAAACAGTACTCAGCAGGCAGGGCAGAGTCGGGAATGGAGATGGTGTTTTCATTCACTGCGGCTGAGGCTGCCTCTTACTCCTAAAGGATTTGGGCCATTTATGCAGGCTTGATTGGCATTAATTATTCAAAGCAATTATTTATTAATAACTCAGAACTCTAAGGATGCCCCACACTTGTTCAGTGCTTTATAGTTTTCTTTTATTTCTGCTTTATTCTTTTCAAAGGGGTTTTTAAAACTGGGGCATGCATGTACCAAGGGGCATGTGATACATATGGGGTGGGGTGGGGGCAGATGTTTTCCTGGAGTATGCAGTATATCAATTAAGGGGGAAAACAACATGATTTTTTTTATTAAAACAAATGAATGTGTTAGGGAGCAGAATACAGAATTGTATGATTTTTTAAAAAATTAAGTATGAGACTTCAAAGACTTTTCAAGGTTGCAACCCCCCGACGCTGGGCTGAGTCCCAGCTGGCTGCAGTGTAAGGAGCACAGTTATGTCTTTTCTATACAGCACCACCCCACCCACCCACCAAGTGCGCAAGAAAGGAATTTTTACAAATTCTGCGAATGAAGAAATTCCGCCAGGAAGCTGACGGTCATGCACGCGTCCACCAAGAACTCAGGTACAGGATGAGTTCATTTGGAGGCTTGCCGGCCCAGCTCCCTCTGCGCATGCGTGAATGCTGCTCCTGATCAGGCAGGAGCGGAGATGAAACCTGAGCGATGTGGTGGGTCAGGCACTGCCCTGAGTGCTGGGGGGACACTTTGGGGATGAAGACAGGGTCCAGAAAGCTGTAAGAACCCTCAGAGTCAGCATCTGGTCAGCCTGGAAAAATACTTGGTATTGAGTCAACTCAGCACCTGTTTAGCCCCAGACTCTTGAGAGTTCCTTGCACTGCAAGGAGATCCGACCAGTCCATCCTAAAGGAAATCAATCCTGAATATTCATTGGGAGGACTGATGCTGAAGCTGAAGCTCCAATACTTTGGCCACCTGATGCAAAGAGCTGACTCATAGGAAAAGACCCTGGTGCTGGGAAAGATTGAGGGCAGGAGGAGAAGGGGACGACAGAGGATGAGATGGTTGGATGGCATCACCAACTCAGTGGACATGAATTGGAGCTAACTCAGGGAGATGGTGAAGGACAGGAAAGCCTGGCATGCTGCAGTCCATGGGGTCACAAAGAGTCGGACACGACTGAGCGACTCAACAACAGCAACACTGGTCATTAATACCCACTTCCCGGATCCCATCATCATCCAGCCCATTCATCTTTGTGCCTGCCCTGGTGGCCACAGAATTTTCTGCTAGACTTTAAGTGCTATCATTCACTTGCTTTGCTTGGGGGCAACTCCTTGCCTAGAAGAATATCAAAAGATTCCACTGCTGTAACCAACTATGCAGTAATCGCTCCTTCCTGGGCCTCCCCCAGTACATCACCAGCTCCCTGACTCCCCATTTGCAATGCACAGGGTAACCATTTTTATCTGTGTTTCTCCTCACCCCATCCACAAGACTCAGACCCCTGGTGGAATCCCAGCTTTGCCTTTTGGAGGCCATGGCATCCTGTTAGTTTGTTGCCTGAGGACCATAATCACAGCCCACCTACATCTCACCATTCACATCCTGCGTTCTAACAAGTATATGAAGGCCTGAATCCAAAGTCTCTCCACCACTGAGTATTTGTGTGAATTTGGAGCATTCTCGGCCCCTCCAAGGCAACCATCGTACCATCACCATCGCCAGCAATGCCTTCTCCTTGCTGTCAATGGAAGGATGGAACCAGTTCATATGGAACCTGAAGTCCAGGGGTTGGCACTTCACAAGTGCTCGGTGTGGAATACAGTATTTCCTGCCATATCAATAAATAAGGATGTCATATCCTCAATTCCTGCCCTCAAATGCAAATTTCTGAGCCCAGGAAGAACAATGCTGGGCTACCTGCCAGCCATCAACCACTCCCTCTGGTGAGCTGTGAGTGAGGAACTAAGGATATGAATGTCAAGAAGCCGGATGCTGACCCGGGGTAGCTGAGATGTGTGTGAAAGGAATGACTGAAGTGAGCCGAGACACTTGCATCTTCCCTTACATAAAAAAGCGCTCAATTCCTTGAGATATCTGGTTTTCCTTAATTAACAATAATCTGATATTCAGACTACTTGCCCCTTGCTGCAAACTTCTATATTACCTGACACCTCTCCCCACCTCCACCACCTCCTCAGAGCAATTCTTTCAGGGTCACTTGAGATGCTGTCTCCTGGGCTTGAAGTCCCAAAAAAATCCCACTGAATAAACATAATTCTCAACTTGTAGGCTCAGTGTATTTTTTCAGTCGACATCAGGAAGCCTCAGCATCCCCATCAAACTCACTCACTCTGGGTGAGCGGAGGTCTCACCGGATCTTCACTTTGAATCCTCGAAAGAGCCAGGAGTGGGGTGAACACGGGGAAGCTGAAGGGCTGGAGGACAGGGAGCTCCCATCCAGCCCTGCACTCTGGTGGTCCTGTGCCACGCTGTCTTTAACTTTTGCCTCCAAATGAAACATCCTCGTGGGGACCCTTGACCCGATTTCTGGCTCCAAAGTCCTCTCTTCCCTGCTCTTGGCGGAGCACGGGCGAGATTCTCCCCCCACTGCCTTCAGAACGAATCTATTTATAGTAGCCATCATTAACTCTCCATTGTTGGTCCCCAGAGCCTCACCTGCTACCCCCCCGCTCCTCCCCCAGAAGCTGACTTCAGAGGGTTTTCTGAGAGTTCTTTGTAATATTAGTTAACATGTGCAGGAGAGCCCCAAGGTCATGTTCCACTCTTGGCACCCTTCACTTTAGATTTAAGAAATCCCCTAAAACTCTCATTAGCGGAGTCTGCCTCACACCTATGAAACTTTAAAAATATCTGGCTAATCAACCACTTTGCACACCTTCACGCAGCCAGAGAGATTCCCCTTTGCCCTCCTCCTCATCCCATCTCCCAGCATCACCTTGGAGCAGACGAGAGCTGTCAAAACCTGCCTTCCCATGGTATTTAAAATAAAATGAGGGAAGTTGTCATCTGAGACCAGTCTTCCCACTGAAACTGGGAGAGAGAAGCAGGAAGTGGACCTGGGAAACGGCCCCCTGGAAGACCCTTTTTGTTCAGACTCATTTTTTTTAAAATGGGTTATTGAGGGTTTTTTTTAATTATTTATTTCATTTTGGCTGAGCTGGGTCTTCACTGCTGCACGAGCTTATCTCTAATTGCAGATAGTGGAGGCTGCTCTCTAGCTGTGATGCAGGGGCTTCTCATTGCAGTGGCTTTTCTTGTTGCAGAGCACGGGCTCTAGGACTCACAGGCATCGGCAGCTGCAGCACACGGGCTCAGCAGTTGTGGCTCCCGCGCTCTGGAGCACAGCTTCAATAGTTGTGGCGCACAGGCTTAGCCGCTCTATGGCATGTGGGAACTTCCTGGATCAGGGATCGAACCTGTGTCTCCTGCATTGGCAGGCGATTCTTTACCCCTGAGCCACCAGGGAAGCCCCAGATTTATTTTTGATGAGGATCTGGTCTTTGGAATTGAAAGGGATATTAATCATAACAATATGAAAATGAAGTTGCCACTATTGAGTGCCTGCCATATACTAGGCACCCTGGAAGCTACTCAGTAACAGTTCTCTGCTGCTAAGTCGCTTCAGTCGTGTCCGACTCTGTGCGACCCCATAGACGGAAGCCCACCAGGCTCCCCCATCCCTGGGATTCTCCAGGCAAGAACACTGGAATGGGTTGCCATTTCCTTCTCCAATGCATGAAAGTGAAAAGTGAAAGTGAAGTCGCTCAGTCGTGCCCAATTCTTAGTGACCCCATGGACTGCAGCCTACCAGGCTCCTCCGTCCAAGGGATTTTCCAGGCAAGAGTACTGGAGTGGGGTGCCATTGCCTTCTACAACAGTGTCTCTAGGTCCTTCCAAACCCCTGATAAGGAAACCCTAGTTTGCACATCAGGACGCATCCTTGTTGATGCTGAAAAGGATTAAGTGATATTTGCCAACTAGGTAGCCAGTGCATCAGTATGTCATCCAGCCAGGAGTCTCAGCAGTGAGAATCTGTCCATCTCTGAAACCCATGTTCACGCCAATACGTCATGCTGTCTCCCACATGAAATGTGCATTTCCGAGATGGACCATCCTCCAGTCCACTTAGATGGAGCTACTCTGGGTGCTGGTGCTGTGGCCTGTCTTCACCCAGATAGAAAGCATATCACTATTCTATAGTGACATTTTGAACTTGGGAGTTACACAATACCATCATCAGAATTGTTTGGGGGTCTTTATCAAGCATATGGGGCTCCCCTAGGGGCTCAGACAGTGAAAAATTTGCCTGCAATGCAGGAGACCCGGGTTTGATCCATGGGTTGGGAAGACCCCCTGGAGAAGGAAATGACAATCCACTCCAGGATTCTTGCCTGGAGAATCCCATGGACAGAGGAGTCTGGTGGGCTACAGTCCCTGGGGTTGCGAAGAGTCAGAGAGGACTGAGCGATGAACACATGTCAAATATACAGATTCCTGAACCCCACCTAAGAAGCATTGAATTTGAATCTCTGAGGGGGCCTGTAGGAATCTGGTCTTGCTGAGTATTTCCAGGTGATTCTTGTTCACTCTGATGTTTGAGAATCAATGTTCCATGTCTAAACTGGTTTGCAGAATGCTTCAGAGTTAAGTGTTCGTGAACCCCACAAGTCCCCTGCAACAAATGGAATTCTCCCTCAACAGACTCCCCAGAAATAGGTGGCACTGAAGTAAAGAAAGAGAAACTTCCCAGTTGGTGAGATAAATCCATATATTCTCAGGAATGAGTTACAGAAACAAAGGTGTGTGGCTCAAGAGGGTGTCAATTTGTGAAACATATAAGAATCAGTCTCTTGGAGTTAAAAGAGCAGCAGGTGTCACTGACAACGTGATAAATTAGGATCCCAGGTACTGAACTAGTGGATAGAGAAAGGGAGATGATGGAATTAGGAGGAAGCCTGCCTATTTGGGCAAAGTGAGAGACTTTGGATGGTTGGATGGCTCAATGGACTCAATGATCACTGACTCAATGGACATGAGTTTGAGCACATTCTGGGAGATGGTGAAGGATGGGAAAGCCTGGCGTGCTGCAGTCTATTGGGTCACAAAGAGTCAGACACGACATAGCGACTGAACAACAAGGGACTTGGGGAATAACTCAGATATGGAAATGACCTGGGAGAAAGAGGTCTGCCCAGGGAAATCAGGCAGGTAAGTAACCAGTGGGAGCCAGGCTGAGAGAGGGTGTGGCCCAGAAGGAAGGTCATGTGATGAGGGAAGCAGGCATGACTGACATCGTGATGTTAGGACTCCATGAGAAGCCTTCGCCTGTGAATTCCATCATCACTTCAGAGTAGCTGCTATGTGACAGGCATTGTGCTGTGTGCTAGGGTTTCAGAGAAAATAAGGTATGGTCTTTGTCCCCACCGAACCCACAGTTTAGTCAAGGGATAAGCATAGACATATAGATGGACAAGCATAGTATGATTCCATAACACTGTGCTGCAAATGGACTTCCCAGTTGGCGCTAATGGTAAAGAACCTGCCTGCCAATGCAGGAGATGTAAGAGACCTGACTTCAATCCCTGGGTTGGGAAGATCCCCTGGAGGAGGGTACAGCAACCCACTCCGGTATTCTTGCCTAGAGAATCCCATGGACAGAGGAGCCTGGTGGGCTACAGTTCATGGGGTCACATCAGACACGACAGAAGCAACTTAGCGTGCACTTTTGCATGCTACAATAGATGCAA